CTGGGTGCGGCGAGGTCACCGCACGAGCCAAGGGGGGGGTCTCCAGCGCGACGATGTCCAGCCGCGCTGCGACCCATCACCAGGAGGCCAAGGTCGAAGTCGCAGCTCGCCTCCTTGAAACGAGGGCGTACGCCTTCAGCGGCGTGAACTGCGTGAGACCCAGCTCGGCGAGTTTGAAGAAGTCGCGCCGTCGCAGCATACTGCCAGCGGATCTCACGAGCGGACGAACTCCTCGTCGTCGTGGAAGAGGACTGCGGGCAGCGCGTAGATCTGGGCCTTGTAGCTCAGCACCGTGACCATCTTGGTTTGGCAATCGTGGAGCAGCGTCGCGGCATCGAGCGGAGTCACGGCCGCAGCGGTGGCGCGCCGGCGCCACTTGGCCAACGGCTCGCGCCACTGCGCCTCCAGAGACGTAGCGGGGCCCAGCAGGCACCCTGGAACTTCCAGCTGCGGTGCAATCGCGAAGCGAGACCGACCAGGGCAGACCGACTCCAGCCGTCTGCTCGGTACGTTCGACGTCGTCTGGGAGAAAGAGCCCCACCATTAGGTCGGGCGTGTTCCCCCTACAGGCGGATTTCAGACGAAGAATGAATATCTCAAAAACAGATTCAAACATAGTCGAAAAATCGTCCACCTATTTGTTCCCTACCTAGGCTCTGCCTAGAAGGGTTCTTACTGTCTTAGCTTAAACGGGGCCGGGCAGTGCAAAACGCCCCGGGCGGTTCCCCCAGGATCCGCCCCGCGGTTCCCCCAGCTGCGTCCCCTTAGCTTAGCGTTGCTTATCTCATCTTAGCTTAGCCTAGCTTAACTTAGCATAGCTTAGCTTAGCGTAGCCTAGCCTAGCTTAGCTTAGCTTAGTTTAGCGTAACTCAGCCGAGCCTAGCTTAGCTTCGCATAGCTTAGCTTAGCTCAGCTTAGCTTAGCGCAGCGCAGCATCAGCATCGCATAGCATAGCATAGCAGATAATATTATAGCATAGCATAGCATAGCGCAGCATCGCATAGCGCAGCATAGCATAGCATAGCATAGCATAGCATAGCGCAGCATAACATATCATAGCATAGTCTAGCATAGCATAGCATAGCGCAACATAGCATAGCATAGCGCAGCACCGCATAGCATGGCATAACCTAGCATGACATAGCGCAGCCTAGCACACCCTAGCCTAGCATAGCATAGCATAGCGCAGCATAGCGCAGCATAGCATAGCATAGCATAGCGCAGCATAGCATAGCATAGCATAGCATAGCATCAAAGCAAAGGTAAAGCAACAGCAGCAACAGCAAAGCAAAGCACAAGCAATGCAACGCAATGCACATCAAAAGCAAAAGCAAAGCCAAGGAAAGCCAAAGCAACAGCAATGTAAAGGCAAAAGCAAAAGCAAAGACAAGGCAATGCAAAGCAAAAGCAACACCAATGCGGAAGTGAATGTAGATGTAGATGTAGATGTAGATGTAGATGTAGATGTAGATGTAGATGTAGATGTAGATGTAGATGTAGGTGTAGGTGTAGATGTGGATGTAGGTGTAGATGTAGATGTAGATTTAGATGTAGATGTAGATGTAGGTGTAGATGTAGGTGTAGATGTAGATGTAGATGTGGGCCTCGCTGTTGATGTTGATGTAGATGTAGATGCAGGTGTAGATGGTAATGTAGCTGTCGATGTAGATGTAGATGCTGCTTTCCTAGATGCTCCAACTCCTAGGTAGGATCGCGCTGGGATAACTCAAACTATTTCTGAATAGTCCTCCTGTAGAGGGACAGGCCCGACTTAACCCACCAGCGGCACGCAGACGCACCACTGCAGCTCCCACGCCAGGCCCGCCAGGCGGGCGCGCACGCGGAAGGGAGTGGGCCCGTGTAGCGCACCCCGCCCAGGTCGACGGCAGCAGAGCCACTGCCGTCGGCGTACCATCAGGTCGGGCGTGTCCCCCTAGGGGCGGGGCGGATTTCCGGGCCGGATAAAAGGGGGGGATAGCAAAGGTGGGGTCTGAGAATCAGCTCACGTAGCTGATTTTCCCAGCGCCTCCGGGCGTTGGAGGCGGCCATGTATCGAAGAATGGGCCCGGCGGCGGGGCCGAAACCAGCTGCACGCAGCAGATTTCGTACCCCCCCCTTTCCCTATCTCCCCCTTTCGTTCGGCCCGAGATTTTGGACGAAAAATGAAAAATACCTCCGAAATGCCCAAAAATAATCAAACATAGTCACACAATCGTCCCCAGACTATTTTTGGATTCCCTTCGGGGATCATCCGTTAAAATTGGAACGATACAGAGAAGATTAGCATGGCCCCTGCGCAAGGATGACACGCACAAATCGAGAAGTGTATACAATTTTTTTTTTTTTTTAGAGGGACTGGCCCGACTTAAGCGTACCATTGGGCGTGTCCCAGTCGCCGACGCTCCAGCTGGACCTCGCGCGCGTGCGTGACTCGGGCCGCCGCCAGCGCGAAGACCGTGCCCTAGAGCGGGTGGCCCTGGAGGGCGCTGGGCACGATGGGGAACGCCACCGCGCGCAGAGGGGAGGAGTCCAGGCCGCGCGCGTCCGCTTGTGGAGTCACGATCGGCGCGCGAGCGCCACAGGGAGGACCTCACTGCGTCAGGGCCACTCGATCCGGTCGTGCCGCACAGTCCCGAGCCCTCCTGGCCGAGTCTCCGGGGCAGCCGCCCTCGCGGCTGCTGGCCGGCGATGAGCTCGCTTCCGCAGCACGCGGCGAGGCAATGCGACCAATGCCATCCATCTCAGTAGCATTCTCCGGGAAGTTGCGCCGCTTGACGAAGCCGCGCGGGCTGGCAGGCACGACCTGCACGGCAGCCACACGCAGACACATGCTGGCCGCACTCTAGATGGCCTGGGCGCCAGTGCTCTTCAGCACCAGGGGCCCCGTGTCCGTCAAGTTGCGCACGACCTCCTCGCCCTCAGAGTCCAGGACCTTCTCGGGCGGGAAGACGCACGCGCCGTCACTGAAGCCTGGTAGCATGGCACGCCCACTCACCATCCACATCACGGCTCCGGACAACACGTCAATACCAGAGCGGCTGGAAGGCCATCGGTCCCAGGCATGGCGCGTCTGGCTCTCCCTGGTGCAATCTGGATGCGAAGCGAGGTCGGCGAAGAGATCTGGTCCAAGTCAGGCTTCAAGAGGCCACGCTGACCGAGAAACGCCTACGCCTCGTGGTGGCGGGCTACACTCTCCGTCGCGTGCTGCGGCGGGGGGCAGAAGACCGTGCCCCGGTGCTCGGCCAGGTCCTCGCGTACCTGCTCGGCGGTCTGTGTCCTCACCCCGCCGAGCATAAGGGCACCCAGGCAGCGCCCCGACGACGGAGCTCACAAGGCCGATCGCCTCTGCAGCGCGTGCAGCTGACCGCGCAGGCGCCGCTGGTCCGCCCCTGGAGCACTTGCTGCAACGAGCCCCCGACGGAGCTCGGCGCGGGAGGCGTGTGCCCCCTTCCGCTGGGCTGCTGGGTGACGTCGCTTGGGCTCCGCAGCGCCCGTCAGCCGCACGCCCAGGTCCTTGCCGAGCTCGACCGTCGGCTTGAGCCAGGCATGACGGGTCAGCAGGCAGCAGCTAGAGGAGGAGGAGGGAGGAGGAGGGAGGAGGAGGGAGGAGGAGGGAGGAGGAGGGAGGAGGGGGAGGAGGAGGAGGGAGGAGGGGAGGAGGAGGAGGGGGGGAGGGGGAGTGGCATCCCTGGGGGGGGGGGGGCAGGAGGGGCCGCCCGCCCGCTGGCGGAGCCGCCACGGGCGGCGCGCGCTGCCCGGGGAAGGGGCGCACCCGGAAGGGCGGGCACCTCTGCGGCGAGGAGCAGCTAAGGGTCCCGTGTCCCCATCACGCCTAGAAGAGGGCCCGAGCTACCTGCCTGCACATCACCGCCACCGATCTCCCTTTGACCACGACACCGACCGCAGCAGCAGCACGCCACGAACTTCCCGAGCGGCCGCCTGCAGGATCCGCGTGGCAGGTGCGGCAGCGCACGGGCGCCGAGGACTCCTCTGAGTTATCTTTCACGTGCCCAGGCGCTGGCCGACTCGCCACGCGAAGCTCTCGTGCTTGACGATGTGGGGCGGTATCGGGGCCAGGTGGCGGATTTAGCACCCCCTTAACCAAAACACGTTTTCATATCTTGGGGGCGCATTTTTTACGTCCGCCGCCTTCCGCCGCCCTTCCGCTGGCTGAGGCGGCCTCGTTTTACTTCCGCCGACCTTTCGCCGCCCTCCGCCGCGGAAGAGATGACAACTCCTTCTGCCCTCGAAAACAAGGATCTTTTTGGAACACCCCAGGTGATCACACAGCCGAGGCAGCTTGGGACTCGGTCTCCATGTTGCCCAGGACGGGCCGTGATCGCTAAAATACTCTGCCCGTGCAAATCCTCTGGCTCGCCATGGAACTCAGCATGCTGGGCCGACTGCGCTCACAGCCGGGGCGGAACGGAACAGGGAGGACGAGAAGCAGCAGGAGCGGGAGGAGCAGGACGACGAGGAAGCGGAGCCAGCAGAACAACGGAACAGAACAAACAAACGAACAAAAGCGCCGTAAACATGAACTTCTGGCGCTCGGAGCGCGCGCGGAGCGGAGCCGCCAGAGGCGGCGGAGCGGAGCCCCCCTCCCTGGCGCGCGGAGCGCGCCAGGGGCGGCGCCGGAGGCGCCGCCGGGCGGTCCCAGCGCGGATCCGAAAAATCCGCGCGGAGCGCCAAAAGTTTATGTTCATGACGCTGTTTTCCTCTTCGACGAGAAGCAGCAGGAGCGGGAGGAGGCGGAGGATGGCGAGGAAGTGGAGGAGCAGGCAGACGGAGCACGAGCACAGTCAACCCGTATCATAAGGATGCGCGGTGAGGATGCGAGAGCCTCGGAAGGTCATGTTGACACTTTGCGAGCGAGGCACGGCCAGCGAAAGCCGCCAGGGATGGGCCGAAGGGGCAAGGATGCAAGAGTACCCGTGGGAAGGTTGCCCATTCTCATTTTCCGGGTTGCCTGCAGGGAGAGAAGCAGCAGCAGGCGGCGCCGCAGGCTCGGAGCCCAGCCAGCTCGGGAGCGGCGGCGGGGGCGGCCGCGCCGCCAGCGCGGGGCCATCCGGAGCCGCCAGCACCCTCTCCAGGCTGCTGGCCTGGGAGGGCACGGCCACCGTCGTCGGCGCAGGCGCCGCCCTCCCAGCCCTGCCACGTGTCGAAATCGGCGGCGAGCGAGGGGGGGAAGTGAGAAGGAGACGGCCTTCCCAGAGAGCGGCGAGGCTCCTCAGAAGGCCCTGGGCCTCCCGAGAGGATTTTTGCGTCTTCGGGGAGGGCTCAGAAAACTGCTCAGAAGGCCGGGGGACTTCCGAACCTTCTGAGAAGGCCGGCCCGGAGGAGGGAGGAGGGAGGAGGGAGGAGTGGGAGGAGGAGGAGGAGGAGGAGGAGGAGGAGGAGGAAGAGGAGGAGGAGGAGGAGGAAGAGGAGGAGGAGGAGGAGGAGGAGGAGGAGGAGGAGGATCTCACCTGCCCTCCTCGCTCGCCGCCGACCAAACACACGATTGTAAGCCTTGCGCGCTTCTCAACCTTCGGCCCCCTGCCTCCCTCGCCGGGCCCCCGGGGACTTTCAAAAAGCGACTCTCGGCACGAAAAAAACGACCGCGGGGATAAAGGGCCGGGACTTCGGAGGGCCGCGCACCGAAAAAGTCCAAGCATCGGATGTCTGGGAAGCCGTCGTCGTCGGCGCCGTCGTCGCCACCAGCGCCGGCGCCGTCGCCGTAGTAGGCGCCGTCGTCGTCGTCGTCGGGGAGATGGACAGAGGAGGAGGAGCAGGAGGAGGAGGAGGAGGAAGAGGAGGAGGAGGAGAGGGAGAAGGAGCGTGAGGGGGGACTGCCTTGTGCGCGCTTGTGCCGTGGCGTGCGAGGCGGTGGGGGGAGGCAGGCTTGGGCACCGACGCCGATACTTCGCAGATTGCTACGCCTGCTGCCGCAGGCCTCCTTGTCTACGAAATGGTGGCCCAAACGTGTACACGAGTGCAGCCTGCTGGGGACACGCGCGCAGGAGCCGGCCTGCGTGCTCCTCTCGCTCCGCGGCCTCCCTGCCGTCGTGCCAGGCGGCGTGCCCATGCTCCATGGGCTCGTAACACGTGCTCCCACTTGTTCCCCCCTCCGCGAGGGCGCCGAGGAACACAGGCCGGCACACGGTGGGGGCATTGGACACGGAAACCTTAGACAAGGAATGCAGGGTCTGGACGCCGATGAAACTCCGAACGTGCATCGGCCATGGATATCACCGCCACCCTCATCAGATGAGCATTCCTCCAGGGTCTGCAGCCTCCTGGGCATGTTTCTTAACGAATCCCCCCACCGTACTTCGACTACTGTACACGCAAGAGTGGCCCGGGGTAAGAGTGACCTTTGGTGCGCGGCTTTTGGGGGGGACCGCGGGAGGACCCACACACAGGCGCGCGGGACGCTGCTCATCGCATCGCGTGCCTCGATCAAGGGACCCTTTGGGCCCGCTCCAAAGATCACTCCGGCGAAGGGTCACTCGTACGTGTCGTCGAACCTAGCTGCGTGCCCGCACTGAGCCCAAACGGGGACACCAGGGATAGCTGGGTCGGAACGCCACGAGTGCGGATTCCTCCCACTGTCAAGCAAGAAGAACAAGCGGACGAGGACGAGGAGGAGGAGGAGGAGGACGAGGACGAGGACGAGGAGGAGGAGGAGGACGAGGAGAACACGAGGACGAGGACGTCCAGTCGAATACTGCACGACTTCTTGGTTGGGGCGGCTGCTTGGATCGCGGAGGCTTCGTCGGCCCGGGCAGTCGCAGAGCTCGGGTCCTTTGTGGGCCGCGGGTCCTCGGCGGCACCGACATCGCGCCCCCCGCATCCCGCTGCAGCAGGGGCGGCAGCCTCTCACTGCTTGCCGCCGGCACTGCTCTGCAGCTCCCTCTCCTTGGTCGCAATCCGCGCGACGGCGACAGCGGCGAAACGTGCAGGCGTGAGACGCTTGACTTGTACGCGAAAAGTATGGCCTGCACTGCTCGAGAAGCAGCGCCTCACCCTTGGACCACAAAAACGGCACCACCCCACCTGCGGCCCCTCGGGCCGCAGCATATGCCACACATTACGGCCTGGGCTTCTGCGCGGAGCACACGCTGCGGCGCCCGATGGGCCGCAGCGCAGCCTGGGGGGCCGCACGCGGTGGGGTCGTGTGCTTCTTGGTCGGCTCCTCTGCCGCCGCCCTTCACACGACTGGCGGGGACGAGGCTCGGCAGACGCCGAGCCCAGGAGCAGCCGCGCGGCTCAGCGACAGAGCGGTGGGGTGGAGGAGGCACTCCCCTCCCCCCTCGCACGAACAGGCCTGCCCGTGTGCGCGGCCACAAAGGGGCTCGGCCCAGAGAACTGGCCTGAGACCGGCAAAGCTCGCCCAAGGCAAGAGCGGACCAGCTCCAGAAGCCGCGCCCACCTTGGCCTTTCCCCCCTTCGTTCAAGGTCCGGCCTGTCCTTCTGGCAAGTCGATCGGGTTGGCAGGCACTGCCAAGGGTGCAGTCAGAGTGAATGTGCTGCATCGTGCTCAGGTGCTGCTGCCTACCTGGGAGCACCGCGGTCTGTTTTGCTGCGGCCACCAGGAAGAGCACAATACCTTACCCATTATACTAAATGCCCGCCTCCGCTGAATGGTAGATGTCTCTGGCGGGTTGATGCCCTTCGCACCTGTCGATTGGCCAGGCGCCTAGTAGATGGACCTTCCCAGGGGGCATTGCTTAGAAACACTTGCACTTTGTTGAGATTTCGCGCGGGATGCCTGAGAGGCCTCTGGGCTAATCCTGCTGGCACACACTCGCAGAAGCCATGACTCACCGAATCCTCAGTGTTATCCTCTGTTCTCTCGGCGGTAGGCCAATGAGCCTGTTTGACCGCCCAGCGGCCCGTAGAGGACGTGACTGGTGATCTCTCCCTTCCAGGATAGGAAAGCAAGACATTTGTCAGTCGTACATCGCGACGAGCTGGCAGTGTGGGAAAAGGAAAAACGAAGAGGTGATGGGCAGAAATCAGCTGTCTTGATCTGTTCCACACGCGGTCCCCCGAAGTCTCGGCAAGCTCCCTTAGGTCCGCCTTTCATCCCGAGTCGTTCTATGACGGTCCTGGGGCCCAGCGGAGGCCCACAGAGGCCGACACGTGAAGAAAACAAGAAACACATCATCTTGATTGTTTCCAGCCGTGGAAGGTCTTGGTCCTCCTCCTCCTCCTCTTCCTCCTCCTCCTCCTTTTCCTCCTCCTCCTCCTCCTCCTCCTCCTCCTCCTCCTCCTCCTCCTCCTCCTCCTCCTCCTTGGAGGAACGGGAGCTAGCAGCATCAGCAGCAGGAGAGGCGGCTGGCCGCGCTGCTCGCGGCGCCGGCAGCGTCCGCCGGCGCGGAGCTGCCGCGAGAGATCAGGTTGCTCAGCAGGCTCCAGGCCTGGCCGGGGGTGGGGGTAGGGGGGGGGGGAGGAGGGGGGCAAAAGGTTCCTCCTCCTCCTCCTCCTCCTCCTCCTCCTCCTCCTCCTCCTCCTCGGGTTGGCCGCGTCGGGAAGCATCGTTTGGCTCTGATCCGCTCTCCTCGCACACACTGTCAAACAGTCAGCCCGTACTGACAAGGTCAAACAGAGATCGCCGACGGGAGCACCCAGGCCGGTCGCTTCCCCCTGCCGGACGACGGGGCCGAATATGTAGGTCGGGAAGCAATTGAAGCGCATGGGTGTCTCGACTCCCCCCGGTCTCCCGCCTTTTTGGAGATAGGGGAACCTGCCGCTGGCCCCGGCCCCTGATATACACATGACGCCCTCGAGACCTGCCAGCTCCCTCAGAATCGCCACCGCCGGGGACGCCGGAGTGCTGATTGATAGCACTGTCTCCGAAACCAACTGGCGAAACATGCTGTCGAACGCTGACTCTATGTCCAGGAACGCGAAAGCATACGGATGCTTCTTGAGTCAGAGAAGACCAAAACACTCCTGACGATATCCACCAGGTGCGACGTGGAAATCCCCGGAGTAAACCCAAAAATCCTGAGCCTGGTTTTTCGCGTAAAACGTCGAATCGCTTACCCCACAAATCTCAAATACCAGTCTTGCATATTCGGGGACTTGGCACCGCACCTCCAGTCGGACAAAGCTCGGGGCCTAAGCTGTTTGGGCAACCCTCTGAGGTCGATGAGCTTCCACAGCTCCCCGCACCCCTTCCCCGTGGCGAAATAGCTGGTGAGCCGAATGAAGATCTCTATGACGACGAGGACAGGCAACATCTTCAGCATCTCGCCCACTACCCTGTCCCTGGCAGACGCTGTGCCTGTGGACACGGCACCCCGAGCGGCGAGGAACCCAACGAAGGCGGAACGACTGGGCCCGCAACGACGTCTCGTGCAACAGCGACGTCGGGACGGAGAAGCTCGGAATCTGGCTCGCGCGGCATCGCCGATGCGGTGCGATCCTCCGAACACGTCTGCTGTACACGTCGTTCATTTTTTTGCCGTGGCAATGCTACGCGGCGCAACGGCTGCACGCGAGCTGTGACGGCGGGCGGCCGCTAGGCCACCCCGTAAAAGGCGCGGACCTCACCGTCTGTGAGCCGCACTGCCGCTTCGGCTACGCGCACACCCGCCTGCGTGGGGTGCCATCCTCCGAGCAGCTTCGTCTTCGCGTTGGCGATCTGCTTCGAGGCCGTCTGACCTCGGCATCGGTCACCCAAAGAACGAAAAAGACGCCCTGAGCAGCGCACCCGCATCGGCCACAAAAGGTATACGGCCCCGCGCGGTACAGCTGGTGCCCCTGCGCAAGATCAAGGATCCTGTTGGCCAAGCTTCCACTAGCACGGGCTGGTCCCGTGCTCGTGCTAGGCCCCTCAGGAGGTGGAGGAGGAGCATCAGCAGGGGCTGGCGCAACATGCTCGGGCGGCTGAGGGGCTAGGCATCACGGCGCCTCTGCCGCGGCTGCGACTCCGATGCATCTGCGCGCCTACTCCACGGCCACGACCAGAGCCACCCTCGTACGTCACTCGCTGCCGCACTCCAGGGCACCGCTGTCGCAGTTACTGCACCGCTCGGGCCCCCAGCACCTTGGAGCGTGCACCGCAGTCCAGGCATCTGTGCCACTGGCCCTCCGTGACGATGTTGCGCCTCCTGGTCGTCGGGTCCCGCGGCCGTCCTCGCGCCGCAGAGCCATCAGGCGCACGCGGCCCTGCGGCTGCACTGCCACCGTCGGAGTCCTCGATGGGGCCGTCCTCTTCCATCTCGTCGTCGGCAGGCGCGGCTGCTGCTGTTGGCTGGGTCGCCACCCTCGCAGCCTCCCCTGCTGCGGCAGCTACCTCCTCAGGCGATGCGCCTGCTGCCGCTGCCGCTGCCGCTGCCGCCGCCACAGCTGCCGCTGCCGTAGCCGCGGCATTCCCCGCCGATGTCATGGCAGGCCTCGTCTCATCAGCCTCGGGCTGCCATTCTCGCAGCTGGGCCTCTCGTCGGCGCTGCGCCCGCGCCTCCTCTTTGGTGGGCAGCGCGACGCCCCCGAAGTCGCCGACCTCCACTGCCATGTCTGCCACGTAGTCCAGCACCTGCTGCACCGTCTTCCAGCGGTCCTGCCATACGTCGATCTGCCACTGCGGCGGCATGGCCAGCTGCGCTCCTTTGACCGCCAACTCATCGGCGATCTTGTTGCCGCGCACGTGGAACGCGTTCTGCACTCTGCCATGCGACCGCACATGCACCACCGTGAGGCCGTCCATGTTCGGGAAGGTCTCGTCCACGACATACCAGATGCGCATCCAGATGTCGCAATTGCTCCTCTGCGGCGCCGTGCACCACAGTCGGCCCCTTCCCATGCCTCTCACGGCCATCTCGTAATCGGTGACCAGCGTGGTAGGGGCCGTCGCCCTGCTCAGGGCATGCCAGAAGGCCTGGAGCTCGACCCGCCCCGCCGATAAGTCAGCTCGCATTCCTGGCAGGCTTCCGTATGCTCCACCAAGCGCCGTGCACTGTCCTTCATCAGCAGGCTCCTCGAACCACATGTAGCCCCAGCCGTAGCCCTTGAGCGCGTTGGCGCCTTTGCCCGAGCCGTCGGTGAAGCAGACCCCCGAGATGAACGGCATGATGTCGTCCTCGTCGATGTCGCCGCCCTCTGCGTTGACAGAGTGGCACTGCTCGATATGGGCGTCGCCCTCCACGTCCTGGATGGGTGCGCCACCAGGCCGCAGTTGAGCAGCAAGCTCTCGCCTGTGCCCGCCATGCGCTGCACAATGCCCGCACGCTTGTCGGCGAGCTTGGTCCTGCTCTCATCATGGGCCTCACAGCGCCCGAAGCGGTGCCTCTGAGTGCCCTGCGCGCGCCTGCACTGCTGGTACATGCCGTCGGCCACCGTGCCGCGCTGCTGGAGCTTGGCCTGCGCGCAGTAGTCCTGCTCCACATGGGCCTTGATGGCACCTTGATGCGCAGCCCACCTGCGCTTCTTGAGCAGCGCCCTCACTGGCTCCAAAAACGGCATCGGGACCTCCTCTGCGATGCCCTTATCAGTGGCCACTTTGTGAGGACCTGCCGCTCGATGGCCCTCTCCAGCTTGTACCTAACCGTCTTAGGCGCCACCGTGTGCAATGGCACCTGGACGCCTGCTGGTGTGAGCAGCGTCCACGCGGCAGGCCATGACCAGCCGAGGTCGCGCAGGGTCCTCAGGACTGCCTCAGCTGGCCCTCTGACTGCCGACCGTGCCACCTTGCCTGCCGTGGCCAGCCGCGCAGACGCCTTCCTCCATGCCGCGACCATAGCCTCCTCGTCCATGGCCCTACTCCATACCACCTCAGCCCACTTCACCACTGGCCGTATGGTGTAAGGTAAGGCTCACCGCTGGGTCGGCCTCCTCGAGCCATAGGCGCAGGGTGCGATCCTTGCCCATGGCCTCGCCGCTCAGCGCCATCGACACGTTGATGCGAGCCCTTTCGATGAGCTTCGGCGGCGCTCCGGTGCAGGCCACCCCGTATCGCATGGACGGCAAGAAACCCAGCTTAGCTACCTTGGCTGTGCCAAGGCTGGCGCCCTGCTTCTCCAGGATGTTCAGCTTGGTACCTCTCGCGACCATGACCTCTACGCGCTCATGCTGCTTGGGCCGCCGCTGCGTGCCCACACCACCTGTGAAGTCCACGCCCAGCTGCACGCCCTCTTCTTGGATCTCCAGGCCCCAGTCCTTCGCCCAGAGCTTGAACTTGGCCTTGGCCTGCTTGTCTGCCGTGTAGACATAGCTCTTGCCTTTCTTGGTGACTCCGTTCTTGTGCGCGGTGAGCGACAGCGGTAGGCCTTCTGCCTCAGCTGCCTGCATGTATGCCATCGAAGACTCCTTCGCCTCGTGCACCACTGCCTCCCGCTCGCCCTGCAGGTGGAGGGTGGTGTCGTCCACGTAGAGCTTGACGTACCTCTTGGTCCCCTCGAGGCACGGCCTGGCGATGACCATGTCCAACAGGATGATGGTGAAGCACTTGAGCGCCCGTGTGCCACCTCGACTGCCTGCAGCCGCTGCCGACCACGTACGCATCCGCGTAGAAGCCACCATACCATCCAGCGCAACGACCCTCTCCATAGTGAAGATCGAGATCATGAAGTGGAGCACCTGCTCTGGCATCCCCAACTTGCGCCCGTGCTCCCACAGGCGCCTCATGGTGACGTGTTCGAACGCCTTGGACAGGTCCTTCACCACTGCCGCGTTGATGTGGTCCTCTGGGCCGCTCTCGTCCCTGAGCATTAGGTCCCACATCGCGTCTTCAGCACCTTTACCTCTGCAAGCCCAGTCATAAGGCCGTGCGACCATCTCTTCCCATTTGCGACACTCCTCTGCCATCAGCGTTTCAACAACTCTAACCAGGGAGCACAAGAGGGCCAGCGGGCGGCGCCCATCCTCGTGCGGCTTCCGCACCAGGAAGTAGGCCAACAGCTCTACCTGGGCAGGCCAATGAACGTAGTGGAGTATGTATTCTGCAAGGTCAACCAGCGCCTGGATGCCCTCTGACGATAGCCACGTCCACCATCTCGGGTGCCACCAGTCAAGGCCTATGCCAATGCTTGTCTTGAACAACCTGGCTGCCTCCCTGAACCGATCTGCCGTGACTCTGACGAGTGGCGCGGGGTAGACTCGTCCTTCCCCAGGTCGGTCGTGCTCTCCTCGGCTGCCGGTCCCGTGCGAGGCCCAGCGCTGGTACCACTGGTGGGCATGCCCATCCACCAGCGTCTGCCCGTCAAGCAACTCCAACGCGTCCTTCTTGTAGTTCGCGATGGGCGCTGGGGGTCGCTCGGCATGGCGCCAGCGAGCCATGCGGTGCAAGAAACCTGCTGCACCCTTGCTGCCATCCTTGAGTCGGCCCCTCCACGCTTTGGCCCTCTCCTGAGCCACCGTACTCACTATCTTGTTTGCCTGCTTGAGGAGCCACCGCCGTATCTCCATGACTGCTGTGAGCCGCTCCTCAGCGCCATCCTCATGTAGCCGCCAGCGCTCGATGTCGAAGAGGAGGTAGTCTAGCCACTGTCCCGTGGCCCCTAGCCGCCGCAAGCGGTGTCGCCCTCGGTGCAAAGCCTTGCCAAGGCACTCACGTAGCTATGCCACCCGTGTTGGGTCTGGGCGCTTCGCCCTGGCTGCTTGTGCCACCAGTATGTGGCTGCCGATCCTGTTGGCCGCCCAGCGCCAGGCCGTGGCCTCCACCGTCTGTCCAACGCCATCCCTCGCCAGGAGCGGCGTGAGCACCGTCTTCGGCGCATCGCCTCGGCCGCGGTACCGTGGGCGTTCCTCCTCTGGAATCTGGCAGATGCCCAGGAGCTCCTCCTCTGCCGTGCGCGAGATCTGGCGCCAGTAGTTGTCCAGGTCCTCCTGGTCGAGCCTACCCGTGTGGTTGGTCGGCCACGACGGCCACTGCTGCGGCTGCGGCGCGCACCCGACTGGCAGCGCCATGGGGAAGGCACGCGGCTTGATAAAGCGCAGCACCTTGGCCTCTCTTGGCTGCTTCAGGCAACGCATCCTCACTGGCCAATGCGGGGAGACCTCACTGTCCTCCACCCTCTCCGCCTGGCTGAGGGCAGGGCTGAGGCCCTTGGCAACCACAAAGTAGTCGATCTCACGTCCTCCTCCGATGCTGTCACACGTCACCTTGCCTGTGGAGTGGAGCACTCCTCCCACGTCTTGGAGCCAGCCAGATTCATGCAAGGTGTGAGGTTCCAACTGCGCGTCCATGCCAAGGATCCAAGGGACGGCATGCATCTCTGTGAGCTCCGTGCTCATTTCTAATTGCGTTCGTTTCTAACTGTTCCTGCCCCTAGTGGCCAGGAAGAGGCGCAGGATAGAACAATTAGAAATGAAAGGATCTTGGCCCCCCAAGAAATCAAAGAACTTTCGAATAATTAAAAGAGAACCATGTGTAGGCCCACACGGTAAGAAATCCTGGTACAAGAAATCTAAGGGCACATCCTTCGTCGACTCTGAGCTTCGTAAGGTACCCCGGGGCTCCGCGGGCCCATCGGGAGATGACACGTTTATCCCGGGGCACGCGCTGGCGGGCCGGTCTCTCACTTGGTGGGCCGACTGCACTCTGGCCGCATCTGGGAGGCCTGGATTTCCTGCGCCGACCCCCCACCGCCATGCGGACGCCCCCGCTGGGCCCCCCCCCACCCTCCTCCTCCTCCTCCTCCTCCTCCTCCTCCTCCTCCTCCTCCTCCTCCTCGCCCTCCGCTCCCTCCCTCCCTCCCTCCCTCCCTCCCTCCCTCCCTCCCTCCCTCCCTTCCCTCCCTCCTCCCTCCTCCCTCCCTCCTCCCTCCTCCCCTCCTCCTCCTCCTCCCTCCTCCTCCTCCCTCCTCCCTCCTCCCTCCTCCCTCCTCCTCCTCCCTCCTCCCTCCTCCCTCCTCCCTCCTCCCTCCTCCCTCCTCCACCCCCCCTCCGGGGCCTTGGAATCGGAGCTCTCCGACACGGGCCCAGCCTGATAGGGCGGGGCTGCGCCGCGCCCAGTGCCCGCCGCCCCCACGCCTTCGCCTCACCCTGCAGCGAACCAGCAAGGAGCCCTCCCGCCCATGCAGACGAGCCTGAGAGGAACCGAACGAGGCATCAGCCTAAGCTAGACTCTCGGAGCTCCGCGAGGACGTTCTTGGATCGGCGCTGGGCCCCCCCTCCCTGGCGCGCTCCCCGCGCCAGGGGCGGCGCCGAAGACGCCGCCAGGAGTGTTCAGCGCCGATAAAGACATCCGCGCGGAGTTCCGACATTCCATGTTCATGCAATTTTGACTTCCGACGATCGGGACTGCTCAAGACCTCGACGATCGTCCAGCCCTTCTGGAAGGTCACTGTGTGGAGCCCCACCAGAGAAAACAAAAAAAGGGGCCGGAGGCGGGAGCGACACGCCGACTGGCCGCAGCGGGCCCCTCCACCGACATGCCCGCGCAGGCTCGGGCCACGACAACTGCACCGAGGCGCGCCCGAGTCGACGCAGGGCCGCAACAACGGAGTCGGAATCCGTGTGGGGTCGGACCGGTCGTGCTCTCGGCCCCTGCAAAGGCCGGAGAGGGAATCGGTGCGTGCGGGGTCGGGTCGGATCGAGATCGGGATCGAGTCTTTCGGGGGGCGGCAGTTGGGGGTGACCTGACATGAGGGGGGGGAGCCAGGGGGCGCAGGCAGGGGCCTTTCAGGTTCCCTTCGAAGCCCTCCTGGCGCCCAGAGGGGCCAGGGCCCCTTTTCGGATGTTCCTTCCCCCCCCGCTTTTAGGTCACCCCCATCAATTACCATGGCTCAAGTTGGCTCAAGCCCCCATGAGGGGCTCATGTTGTCAAGGAATTTTAAACATCGTTGTCAACAGTCTTCCCGCTTATTTATCTACAAGCTTTCCCTTACCCGCAGCTTGCGATGGCTGGTACGAGCTCTCGGGTGGCAGGGACACCTGTTCGAGGAGTGCTTGAACGCGACGTTCGACAACGTCTGTTCAGTCCGCTACACGAAATAGACGACTTGCCCACAGGCGCGGTGGTTCATCATCTTGAGACCCCGAATACTCCGGCGGATGCTCGCCCACCAGCGCTTCATGAGATCGCGAAGCTGCTCAGGGAGGAGGTGCAGCCACTGAGGACGGCAATGACCATCCTCGAGAGCCAGTTCACGCAGCTGAGCGAGGCGCTTGGGACGAGGATGAGTTCAGCGAAGGAGCGGATCGGGAGTACGGAGGAGAGAATGGAGGAGGTGGAGATGCGCCTCACGAATCTCGAGAACACCATGGACCTGGCCGAAACACCCCGCTCCAACCAGAGCGCCAACGACGACGTGATGAACAAGATCCAGGAGTTGGAGGCGCAACTGTCCATGCTGAAGGTCGCTGGCCAGAGTACCCCGGACTCCCAAGAGACGGACAAGACCATGGTGCTCGGGGGCTTGCAGACGCTCGTGGACCTAGACTCCGCGAAGGGGTGGGTACATGACAAAGTGTGGGAGCTGTACGCGCCGCAGCCGGAAGAAATATACACCAAGGGGGAGCTTCAGGGGATTATCTTTGCGAAGTTCGGTACCATCGGAGACCGTGATGCAGCAGTTAAGGCCTTTCGGAAAGCGAGTTTCAAGGAGGGGGGAAATACAGTCTGGGCAAAACACGACCAACCATTACAGAAGCGTGTCGTCACCTCCATCGTGTTCGGAGTGAAACACTTATTGAAGAAATGGGGATATGATGGCAAGGCCGTGTGGGCCGACCCAGAGGAAGGAAAAGTATGGGTGGGCGAAGATATTGCCGTTGAAGTTTCTATCGACAATGGCAGTCTGAAGGTAGTTTACGGGTCTGGTTGGGAAACTTGGTTTACAGACGCAGAGTACCCCGACCTCACCAACCTCATCGCCCTGATGAAACGCAAGCTCGATAGTGCTCCGTCCAAGGGAGCAGGAAAGAGCGGGGCCAAGGGGAAGAGGAAGGGTAAAGGGGGAAAGGATGGAAAATGATGGGGCCAGCGGTGCGAGAGCAGAGAGGTTTCACACGAGTGCCGCAGGGAGCCGACGCCGAAGCGCGACGATCCCATACGAGGCCCTCACACACCATCAAGCAGGAGCCGTCGTGACGACAAAGCCGCACTACCGCTACTTGCTGTCCGGGGACGTCGTTTACGATCCACGAGAGAAGAATTCGCTATTGCATCATGGAACACCGAAGGATACACTGAGTCGAAACAAATCGAGATAGAAGCTGCTATGAAGAAATCCGGCGTACTTCTATTATGCATTCAAGAAACGTGGATACCTAAATCCGACACGTTTATCACGGAGTCCGGTTTCCTTGTGATCATGTCGGGCGGCAAGGGGGGCACGGAGGAGGAGGACAGGGCAGGAGTCGGTTTCATCGTCGACCCCGGTCTCAGGCAATCTATAGTTGGATTCTGTCAGGCTTCTGACCGGATGGCGTCTTTGAAATTGCGTGTGCCGGGTGGGAAGGCGGTGGTGTTCTCCGCTTATGCTCCTCATTCTGGGTACGACTATCCAAAGCGACAGGGCTTCTACCATGACTTGGGAGAGTTCGTCACTTCCCGTTCATCGCAAGGCCCCAAGCTGATTTTCGGCGATTTCAACGCAAAGCTGTACGACACGTTCGACGATGAAGGCCTCATTGTGGGCCCTTACTTCTTCAGGCACCCGGGCCACAGTTGTAAGGAAGATGCCAACAGGTATCTGCTGGTTGAAATGTGCTCACAATTATCGATGTGCCTCGCCAATACCTTCTTCCAGTCGTCGCAAGAGCAGTTGGCAACGAGCTACAACGTCGGCTGCCGGGCAGGGAGCCGCGTGGACTGGCGCACGCACTCCCAGATAGATTACGTGGTCTGTGAGCAATCATGGGCTCATAACGTTACCGGTGTGTCTGTATTGTCGGACGTTCCTGTGTCCTCGCACCATTTCTTGGTGAAGGCCGGCGTCCGCATGAACGTGGAGAAGGCTTTGACGGAAAAGCCCAAACGCCAGCCTGATGTTAGTCAACTCCGGGACTACGCTTCGCAGCAACGTTTCGTTAACGTGTTAGTTGATTCTTTGGACAGTTTCCAGGAGGCGGCGCCCGGCAGTAATGACGTGAACCTTGCATGGTGCCAACTTGTCGATGGCTTCCGGAATGCATCAGACGTCGTTTTGCCAGCGCAACCGAGAAGGCCGCGGAAACCTTGGATCCGACCTCGCACTCTCGAGCTCATCGAGCGGCGCTCCACGGCAAGGAGACTAGGGAAAATAGAAGAGGAGCGAGTCCTTGTGAAACAGATTAAGTCAGCAGTGGCGCAGGATAGAGCGGCTTGGCTGGATGAGTTGACAGCCGACGGAGACTGGGGCCAAATACGGAGGCTCCGAAAGGGCGCTTCCCGACAGCAGGGGAGGCTCAGAAGTTCCAGAGGGGAGATGGTGGACACCGATTGCCGGGCCGACACGCTTGCTGAGCACCTGGAGCGGGTGCAATGGGCAGTGCGGCCGACGAGCGCTATGCCGACGGACGCCCTCTACGAGACCGAGTTAAACGTAAACCTTGGCGCCATCACGGAAGACGAGGTACATCGTGCAGCCCGCACCCTTAAGCCCGGAAAAGCTGGAGGGCTCGACGACTTGCCGCCAGAGTTTTGGAGGACAGCCACGGAGGATGGATCTACGGCGCTTTCGTGGGTTACGCGTTTCTGCAACATTGTCTGGGAGAGTGGGCAAGTGCCTGATGACTGGCATAAGTCACGAGTGCGGATGATCTATAAAAAGGGGGACCCTGCAGAATGCGATAACTATAGACCAATCAGCTTATTACCAATTGGTTACAAAATGTTTGCGATTGTGTTGTTACGGCGGCTGAAGCACGCGGGGGCTGAAGACAGAATCTGGCAGACACAGTTTGGCTTTCGATCTAAACGTGGCACGGCCGACGCAGTGTTTCTAGCCCGCAGGGTCCTTGAGGACGCATGGAGCACCCGAGATGGCAAAGTTTATTTCCTGGCGCTGGATTGGGCGAAAGCTTTCGATTCGGTGTCGCCCGCTGCTTTAGCATCCTCCCTGCGTAGATTCGGTTGTCCGTGCCGTTTCGTGCAGATGGTTTCGGCAATTTACGAGAGGCGGGCATTCATCGTTGCGGATTTTGGATCCAACTCTCACGAGCGACCTCAACACTATGGAATATGTCAGGGATGCCCTCTGTCACCGTTTCTGTTCACCATCGTGATGACAACGTTATTGGCTGACTCCCATGCGGAGCTTCACCGGCGCGTCGGGCCACAGACAGCAACGCAGTTGGTCCGGGACTTGGTATATGCAGACGACACTCTTTTGATCGACAGCGACTCTTTGGTAGTGCAGGAGTTGATGAATTGCATCGAGGGTTGTGGGGCGCACTACGGCCTGAGCTTCAATTGGGGCAAGCTCGAACTCATGAAAGTCAGTGCAAACGGCGACATCTACAACAATGCCGGAGAGCCGATCGCAAGCAAGAGCTCCATCATATACCTCGGCACGTCATTGTCGGCAGACGGGCGGATCGGATCTGAGCTAAGCCGCAGACTAGGAGCAGCAACTCAAGATTTTAAGGTGTTGCATTCGATTTGGTCACATGCAAGAATGAGCAGGCGTCGTAAAATACACATTTTCAACGCTTGCATTGTTTCTAAACTAATGTACGCGCTCTTTGCCGCATGCTTAAATAAAGCGGAGCGGCAGAGGCTGGATGCTTTCCAGAACCGCTGCCTCCGGAGAATCTGCCGAATTCCTCAGGCGTATTATAGTAGGGTTTCTAATGCGGCCGTTCTCAACATTGCTGGGGAAGATAAGCTCAGCACCCACCTCGCCAGAAGACAGATGGTTTTCATGGGGCAGCTGGCGAGGCGACCCGGCAGCGACCCAGTCCGACGCTCGGTGTTCGAACCGGGAACCTTGGACTTGCGTAAGCCTGCCGGAGCGAGGAGGCGAGGCAGGCCTCGCCAAACTTGGGGGCACCTTGTGT